CCAAACAAAACCAAACCAAAAACCAAACCAAACAAACAAACAAACAAACCCACCAAACTTCCCTCGGAGCTGAAAGTGGCAGGAAAGTGCCTGGCAAGTTGCAGGGATGGAGCTACACAGCTTGCAGGAGGCGTTAAAAGTGGAAATCCCGTGTCAGCAGGTAAAGGACGGCGCCGGCGGGGCCCCCGCGCTGTCGGTCCCCGCCGGACCCGGTGCATGCCCGGCCACCGCCGTCGTGCCGCAGCGGGAGGGGGGGCGGCGGGACCCCCGGCCCCCCGCCGCAATGGCGAGCACTCCCACAAAGTACTTTGGGCTGAGTTTTTTGTGTGTGTGCGGGGGTGTGTGTGTGTGTGCGTGTGCCCGCGTGTGTATGCGGGGGTGTGTGTGTGTGTTTGTGTGTGTGTGTGCCGGGGAGAGGATGCGGAGCGAACGCTGCGGTCGGTGCTGTGCGAGTGTGAGTGTGCGTGAGTGTGAGCGAGCGCGAGTGTGAGAGTGTGTGTGTGTGTGTGTGTGTGTTGGAGAGATTAGGACGAGACTTGAATATTTATGAGCTTTGCTAGAAACTGACTCGCAGTGTTTACTTGCCTCTTTGTTCCTTACCCCCCTCCCTCCCCCGTCCACACACATACATACATTTAAAAAAATCCGTTAAACTTGAAACAGTTTCTAATTCCTCCTTTTTTTTTGGGGGGGGGTGATTTCTTTTTTTTTTTTTTTTATAGAAACTAGTTGCACAGATGAAGCAAGATCCACAGGTAAATGCAGATCCTTTTTTTTTCCCTCTTCTTCAGTATTTTATCCCTGCCATAATAAGCGCAGTTGTGCTGGGACAGCAGGATGAGAAACTTTATCAGTAAGAGATCTCATTTTGTAGTCTGCACTGAGCTTTCTTGTTAAGGAGGGTGTTTTGTGTGTGCATGCTTCCGTACGGCTTCGGTGGAACGGTTTTGCCTTTGAACAATTTGTAGCTCGCAAGTTTATTCATCACAGGGGTTAGTTTGCACTTTGCCTTTAACATGCATCTTGTTGCCGTTTTTGCAGAACGGGGATCTTAAGAAACAAATCCATGAAAGGCAATCAAGAATAGCAGCTCTTAATGAGAAACAAGTAAGGAACAGATCGATTCAGTTGTGTTTGGTTTTTCTTCTTGTTTTTACGGTGCACTATCTAAACATCCGAAAAGTGTCTGCGTTAGCTGAAAAATACCGGCAGCAGGGAATATAACATTCATTTTTCTCTGCGTAGAGTCAGAAAATGCATGTTTTCATAATGAGGTCGGGTTCTCTGATGTCTTGCTGGGGGAAAGAATGATTTTCAGTACTAGTAGTAAAAAGATAAGCAGTAGTTAAAACGTAAAAAAAAAAAAAAAAAAAGAGAGGCGTCCATTTTGAGTTGGTCGACATGTTTTAGGAATATGGAAAATTCTCCTGTCTTGGGCTACTTTGTGCACTTCCGTGTAATGTGCAGAGTAAGAGTTGGGAGGGAGGAGGCTGGAGCCCCGTTCGCAGCCATTTCTGGGTTTGATTACAAAACTGATTTTTATTGATCACTTTATTTCTTTTCTTCTTCTTCTTCGTGTTTTTTTTTTTTTTTTTTTTTTTTTCCCCTTCCCCTCCCCACTTGCTTTTCTCTTCCCTTGGTCTGATCTGACGTGTTGGCTTATGATTCGAGTTCACTTAGGCACTTTCACTTTCCCCCCTCCCTTCCAAAAATACTAATAAAAACAGATTAACCTGTTTCAGCTGCCGGGAGGTTGGGGGGGGAGGGGAGGGGGAGGCGGGGAGAGCAACCCACCGAAACGGAGGAGGGGGACAAAACAAGCTGGGAACCTTGCTCCCCTCCTCGCTGCCTGCCCTCCCCAAACTTTGCCATCGCTGTTTTCGCGCGGGGTGACCCCCCGGGAGGAGGTTTCCCGGCAGGAAAGTTTTGGGGCGGGGGGCGGCGGGCGCTCAGCACCGCGGACAGCGCTCCCGCTCCCCTTCCCGCCCGCATTCCCACTCGCGTTCCCGCTCCCATTCCCACTCGCCCAACTCCCCGCGCCCCCCACCACCCCCATCCGGCCTCTCTCCCGGCACTTCCAAGCGCAGGGGGGGGCGCGGTTGGCAGAGCTCGGGGGGGGGGATGTGCCGCCCGGAGCCCCCTGCCCAGCCCGGGGATGAACTTTCCCCGGCCGCCCCCGGGGTCCCCGTGCCCCGCTCCCCGGGCTCCGCTCCCCCGCCTCGCCCGGCCCCCGGCGCGGCTCCTCCGTTCAGCACCAGCGCCGGGGACAGCGCCCGCCAGCCCCGAGCCGCCCCTCCATCC